TATGAATCTATAGTATAGAAATTATGAATCTATAATATAGAAATTATTAATTGGAATCGTGGGTACCTTGCATTGTGCACATGGTTGCACAACATAACGTTCAAGTATTTGGGACTGCTCCTTTCTATTTGTGACTTATTCACATATTTGATTGGATTTCTACTGGGTTTTCTCGCCGGCTTGTCCTTGAGTTCTGGCGAGTGGGAGCTTTGTACAGATTTGTTGGCTGGAGATAGACTTCCGAAGGCATGGGTTTTCCGGCGGCATACACGTTTCTTCGGGAGGGCATCAACGGTAGCACTGGCTTTCTTTCCAAAGTTGGAGAACATCCTCTGTTTTCCAACAGATTTTTCAAGATTTTTGACGGTGAGATTCACTTTTTCCTATTCTCTTGCTTGGGACTTGCTTTCTCTCAACATAATATGGCTTGATTGGCGTTAATCCACCACGGAAGGTCCTTCATTGTTCTCCGACAAGGGACGGTGGCAGTGTTTTTTCAACCACACATGAAAAGACGAAATTGCCATTGAGATTAAAGATTAATTGACTAATTTAAATATTTGAATTAAATGTGAAAAATGTATCGAGACACCGTCGCGTCCAGGTTCATGATTTCATCCAACATCAAATAATATTCAATTATCCAAAATTCTTCCAAATCATGTAATCCACTTATAATTTTGATGGGTCAGAATCAAGTCAAACCCGCTAATTAGACAGCCCAATTAATGCAATTGGCCTAGTCCAACTCAATTAAATATTCCATCATCTTGGACCGAACAATTCAACACCCACTTACATTTAATTAAGTAATTAGACCCATTAATTATTTATTGGGTCATTTAATTAACCCAATTAAATAAATATTTATCCAATTAACCCAATTAAAATAATTAATTTGGTAATCAATTATCAATTAAGATCCAATAATACACAAATCAGCCCACTTAAAATTTTAATGTTCACAAATTGTCGGCAAATTACTGTGTGGACCATGATCCACACAATGTTATATGGACCATAACAAAAAGTACATTTTTAATATACTAAATGTACATTATTTTTGTATTGAATGTACATTATACAATATAATGTACACTCAGTATAAAAATAATGTACATCTCCTGAATACAATGTATATTATTTTTGTACTGAATGCACATTATTTTTGTACTGAATGTACATTATTTTACAGTATACAAAATATGGTCCAAAAAACTTGTGTGGACTATAGTCTACACAACTTGTGTGGACCATGATCCACACAATAATGATTGCAAATTGTCACTTGCTTGGCGGGCTTCAAATGCAGAGAGAAGGAAGTTTTGAAATTAACATAGTCCAAGAATCCATATTTACAGATAACAGACCAGCATATTATATTCTGACTACAAAAAAAACTCTAATTTATAGCAATCGTTATACCCTACACCACAGCGCGCGTAGCACTGTGCGCCGCGCGCCTCCCAAAATGACGTCGTTTTGGGAGGCGCGGTAGGAAGTTGCTGTGATTATGTATATTTGTTCACACAATTATGTATATTTGTTCATACAATTATGTATATTTGTTCATACAGTTATGTACATTTTTTATACAATTATGTACATTCTTTTTATACAATTATGTACATCCGAATCAGAAAATTTGGATGTATTATGTTAAGAGTTGATGTTTATTATGTTAAAAGTTTATGTTTATTATGTATTATGTTAGATTATGTGTATTATCTTTTAAAAAGAGTATGTATATTTTGTTATATAATTATGTACATTCATGTATACAATTATGTGTATTCTAGTATAACTTTATGTACATTTTTGAACATGGGTTTTTTTTTTTAAAGAAAAATTAACTGCCATACACTGGGGCGGGAAATTTAAAAAAATTAAAAATTAAAAATTAAAACGACGTCGTTTTGCATCTGGGCGCACAGTGCAACGCGCACCGTAGTGTAGGATATAAATTGCCAATTTATGGGAAGCTCCAACAAAACTATATGCAAAAGCCCAATTGTGTCTACAATCTTGTTAAAGGCCCATTTCATTAAAAAAAAAAAAAAAAAAAAAAAAAAAAAAAAAAAAAAAAAACCTTTAGCCAAACTGCAATTTTAGTTTTAGCTAAAATTAATCTCTTCCCAGAAGTTGAACTTCTGTACGTGAAGATCTGGTCAGATTCACCGGGAGGCACAACCCTTATCCCATCATGAATTGTAGCAACTGATTATACCCATGGTAAACAATACTAATCCCTTGGTTCACAATTCCATCAACCGCAGGATTCCAGCCACATAATGAGAAGTTAATTTGGATGAAATAGCAAGCAATTGAGTCACATAATCAGAAACAGATTAGGATGAAACAAGTTTTGAATCGTAGCGAAGCACTTTGTGCTCAAATGGCATGTAGTGACATCTCTCATGTGAGAGGTCATGAGGTCGAGGCGTTGTTGACTCTGTATACTTTATTAGGTTGACAAAGTATATTTGAACAAATACTACAATTTAATAGAGTTGGTAGCATTCAAAAAAAAAAAAAAAAAATTGAATCGTAGATACACTCAAATTCTTCCATATCCCTGGCAATCAACAACTGTAAATAATACTCCATATCTATTGCTTTGCATCCTCTGATCCTCATTCAGGCATTAATTTAAATTTTGGTTATAACAATATATACTCCTTTTATTTATTATAGGGCCCATCATATCACTTTCCTTTGTTGTGATCCGGTCATGCATGCACTGTCACTCGCCTAAGTTACAACCTCGATCTCCCATGCAATAAGTGTGATAAGTATAATCATTTTACACTAAGAACAACAAATCTTTGCATTAAAAATGTTACTTTATTATTTGATTATGTTTTTTTTTTTTTTTTTTTTTTGAAAGCTTATTATTTGATTGCTGGTGTTACCTAACTTAATTATTTATCAACGTAACAATTACTAAATATAATTAATTATATTTCTTATATACAATTTTAAATTAGTTATATAATCTAACATTTAAATTAGTTAGATTAGATTCATGTTATTAATTATTAAGATACATGTGGGTGAACTCAACCGCATATTAATATTATGAATTTAAATATTTAAATAACTAATAGATTTTAATAATATTAAATAAAGTTTATTTTACTTTTGATCTCTACTGATTATAGTGATGAACTTTTACTTATAATTCTTTTTTTTCTTTTTTTTTTTCTATTTTTCTAGCTTATAAACCTCTCACTTTTTAATAAAAAAAAAAATTTCATTTTAACATATTTAGAATATTATGGATTAAAGTGCATGCTCAAAACGTAAACGTTAAAATACGTACTCTATCAGTAAACATGTGAGAGATCGAGTAACAACAAATTAAAATAATGATAATACGAACAATTATTAGTTGTCTCGTCAAAAAGCTAAGTTGTTAGGTATAATCCAAAAATGAGCATGTTAACAAGCATGTTAGATGATTTATTGTGTACTCTCATCCTAAAGTAAATGTAATTAATAATTTAAAATGTAATGCCAAAATATCTCAAAACTAAAAATTGTGTACATTAATTAATAATAATTTGTATTTGAAATAACATATCTAAATTTTATGAGCTCTCTAATCTCTATGTAAAATTATCTAATCTTTTTATGCTTTTGATTCAAGAAAAAAAAAAAGAAGAGTAAACAAATGTAAATAATAAATAAGTTGAGAATGTAATTGTAGTTTTCATGACAATATTTGTGGCCATCTCTATCTGACTATCTCTATTAATCTTTTTATTTATTTTTTCTCCTTTCACTTTTCAATAATTAATTATTTATTGTCATAGACTCAAGCGTGTAATAATATATTTAAGTGAAGAGAATGGTACTATCATGAAGGGTATAATTAAATCTAAGTTAGATTTTGAACTATTGTCCATAAATATGACAAGTTTCAAAAAGATTGGTTTGTTTGGTAAAATAGGTAGTTTATTAGCTAATTTTGATTTATTTGACCACTATTAATTGTTTGATTTGGTTAAAAAATTAATATAAATGTTTGATTAATTAACTTTTTGTAACTTAAAAATATTAAAATTCAAAAAGCTGCTCAAAACAACTTTTTCAATTAGCTTTTTGAAAAAAAAAATTATACCAAACAACTATCAGCTAACAGCTAATTTACTAAACACATTTCTACAATCAACTAATATTATCAACTAGTTATATTCTTTAATTAACTCAATCAACTATCAGGTAATTGCCATTTATCAAATAGGACTAATCTCAACTTTTTAAGTTATTTTTGAAACAAAAACTTAAAAATAAATTCTCTCAATATATAATTTTTATAAATTGAGTCCATACTCGAACAAAAGATAAAAACAAATATACAACGAATATTGATGCATAGATGTAGCATAACGTAACGTAAAATATGACACTTTTTAATAAACGCAATCAGAAATTCAATCAACGTATTTAAAGAAAGAAACTTTCCAGGTAATCGTTTACTAATCATCACAACAATAACAATTTGTTGCTGACAGTTATACTTAATACAATGGCCCTGTTTGGTAAAAAAATTGGCTTATAGGCCAATTTTGGCTTATTTGACCACTATTAATTGTTTGATTTAGATAAAATATCAATATAAATGTTTGGTTAATTAGCTTTTTGCAACTCCAAAAGGCTAAAATTCAAAAAGTTACTCCAAATAACTTTTTCAATTAGCTTTTTGAGAAAAGAAATTATACCAAACAGCTATCAGCTAACAGCTAATTTACCAAACATTTTTCTACAATCAGCTAATATTATCAACTATTTATACCCTTTAATTAACACAATCAGCTAACAGCCAACAACTATCAGCTAACAGCCATTTTACCAAACAGGGCCATGACAAATTATTCTTTCATCATTAACTAAAGCATTTGAGATTGCCTGCATTAAGGCTAATCACAAGGGAAAAAACCAAGCAACAACCAAAACATTACAGCATAGCAATCTGTATTAATTTCAAATTCAATCAGTTCACAACAGAAATGGAAGATTTGCATTCATTAACAAAACATATATATTACATGATGCACTTTGTCTACTACAAACTGAAACCAGAGAGCATCATATCTGGCCTTCATTCACTACAAACTGAAACAAACAACATAACTGGACTTAGAAAATAGAAACACTACTGGGAAGATCAAAGAGGTTCTTAGGCTTTCGGGATGAATTTTCGCATCCACACATTCTTGCCCTTAATTGTAAATTTTGCTTTTGCCAGACCTCTAAGAACCAAGTCAACAATTGCCGAAGAGGTGAAGACAACCAGGGCAAAAAGTGACTGCTCATTGGGCTTCACCACCTGCATAGAGATGGACTCCACACAGTCGCCAAACATCCTGTTGAAGTAACCCAAAAGCTCCCATTCAAAAACAGGATTGCCCTTAGAAAAAGTAGCAAACATTGTTCTTACGACTTTTGGTTCATTCAAAAGTAAAGGAGGCATCACTGATTCAGAAGACTCATCTGTGAGTCCGAGTCCTCCGAACCTTTGGATCATGGGATCCATGGGAGGCACCACCGATTGAGATGACTCACCTGAGAGTATGAGTCCTCCAAACCTTGGTATCATGGGCTCAGCAACAGACGGTGGCATTATGACCATTTGAGTTTTGAGCAACTCTTGTTCAGTGGTTCTCTTGATGGCCATTTTCACGAGATCGCCCAATACCTTGACACAAACATCCTCCACAATCATTCTGATCCCATACAATGCCTCGGCCCGATTTTCATGAAAGAACTTTAGAGACAACTGCTTTCCCAAGAGATTTTGAGTGAGTGAAATCTCACTTGCATCAGAAGAGAACAGATACATGGCATCTGTGATGCATCTAAGGCAGGCCACAGCTTCATCAGCAAGTCCATCGATCAATTTTATGGGCGATGACAAGATTTTTTGCACAGCATTATTGATTTTATTATGTTCTAACCAAATCCATAAAGCAATCATATTCACAGATACCTTAGGATCACGTTCAAGCACAAAAACAAGGATTGAATAGAGTTCTCTGTTCATTGCATGGAAAAGATTATTCATCAACTTGACAGGAACTTCAGGATAGGCAGCATCCATGGCAAAATATGCTCTTAGTTGACAAGACCTGTTCACATGAAATTCACACCATGAGACTGCCGTGAATCTCCCAAAATGACAAGATTAAAAGACAAAAAAAAAAAAAAAGGTATTAAGATATGAAGCATGCCAAAGTGCCAAACCAAGGAGACTCTTCACTGTGAACAATAAACCTAAATAATAGAGCCTGGCCAAGAATGAAAACTAAGAACACAAAAAACTAGAAATGGATGAAACAAACTAACACAATTTCATCCAAGATATAGCCAATACATCAGCCAGATGTAAAATGACCAAATGGTGGTGCTGAAATCCTCAATCAAAAAGGAGTCATAGAATGCAGTTTCTCAGCCCGGTGGCCCCGGTGTCAAAAGCACACAAGAAAAAGCAAGTCATCATACAAAACTAAGCTGCAAAGGAAAAACTTTTTTTAAAAAAAAAAATTATTATTTTACATTGAAAAAAAAAAAAAAGAGAAATATGAAGGAAAAGGAGAAACCTCTAGAGGACGTTTGCCTTAAGAATTCATCTATGCAATCAACTTCTACACGGTTTATTTATAGGCACTTTAACACTGCCACGCACCTCATGTGTGAGGTAGTGGCCCTTAGTTCAAATGCTCGGTAAGTAACAAATTTTAGTAGGTTGCATTTAATAATTTTAGATACCTTTTCTCAAATACCACGGTATACAATCATAATTTTTCAGTTCTTGTTGATTTAAAATATAGGCCCTTCAAAAACCCCATCCCTCCAAATTAGTTCCAAAAAGATAATTCCTATAATTTAAATAAAAATTTAACACATATTACCTATCAGAAAGAAGAGAAAAAAGGTAGAGCATATATCTTTCATCTTAAGCCTTCATAAATTCATCTGAACCAGAATAAAATTTGGTTTCATGTTCATTTTCCATTTCAAAGAAGCCAAAACATGCTATATCACAATATGATTTTGACCATTAAAAGCTACTAGTTAAGTATTGAAGTGTGGTTCACTGCTAGGTGTTTTAACATTTTCCATTTCAAAGAAACCAATCTCATTATGTGTTAAAGTGGACACCACACAACATCCTAATACATTATTTTTGCATATAGAAAATAATTTTAGATAGGATTGATGGAAAAGGAATAATTTAATTTAAAAGGGAAGTTTGAAATAATTAATCCTCATGCAGTCTTTTCTGTTATTATTACCTTATTCTGACACTACTAAGTGTTGATTAATTAGTTCAATGTCCTGCCTGTACTCAGTCTAATAGATTTGCTTATGGAACATAATCATTCACTAATAGGAAAATGTATGCTCTTGCTGTTATCATAGGGATTCTGTAAGCATTTCTTCCTTACTATTATTAATTTTAGTTCATCTAATATTCATTAAAAGACTTTCTGTTTGTATTATTCTATAGGTATATTTTGCTTCCTTTTTAAATTTCGCGAACATAGCTAATGCACTGTCTGTCTTGGTTTATGCCCTATTTACTATTTATTGGTCATATCTTCTTTCTTCACTTATTTTCTTTAAAAAATTTTATGAATCTAGATACTTGCGCAGCCTTCTATTAAAAAAAAAAGTATAAGTTTATACAGAGAATCAACCTTCCAAATTGTGCTCTGATATGTCTAATTTTCACTTCAATTCAACTTGATCCCAAATATGGAGCTTGAATACACTCAAATCAAGCCAAATCATGTTTGCCTTGATTTGAATTGCTTGCAATCCTAATGCTTTTAAGTGATAATTGTAACTGTTAGACATTCTTGAAATAAATTACCATCACAACTCAAAAGGATCAGAAAATGGTAAAAAGAGAAACCTAATTCACAAGGTCTTAAGTAGCACATTCTTAGAAAGTTAAATGTGGACCAAGAGGAGCCCGTATTCTTTTTCTTTTCTTTTTTTCCCCCACTGTAATCTCTAGTTGTGTTTCTACAAATAAACCCCATACACTTACTGCCAGTTATTTACTGTTGGGAATGCAGAAAGAAGAAACTAGCAATAAACTTTATCACAGAGAATAAAAATAGCAAATATCAAAGAAATCATTCTAAAACACCTTTTGCCAGGTTTAAATCCCATACCTTAAATGATATTGTGCTGAGAATCCATAGTCCAGTTCTCAGCCACTGCCACCATTTCCTGTCTTTTTAGCTGAGGCACAGATCCTGTCATTTTGGAAATGGTAACTTTTGCTTACAATGCTTTTCAGTTTCAATAGCTTGAGTATCTCTACCATTGTAAAATCGAGTTGATGCACAGTCCAAGCTGCCAAAAGAATTGAATAATTAAATAGAACTGTCAACTTCCCAGAAGTTTAATAGAAAGCACCAGCTTTATGTTACCAAGAATCTGAATATTGTAACAAAACTCTCAATGACAGTGACCAGGTCTCCTCCCTGCAAGGAGGAGAACACAATAGTTTAGCCACCATTGATATGACAAGACAAAAATTGCACTTAAGAAACAAAGAGAGTACTGGTAAAAGATTTGGTATTTTACCAACATAGAATTTTGGTATACCTCTCCTGAAAAAGGGAAAACAGGAAATATGTGGACTATGAAGCAAGCATAACACTCTATTAAGCATTGTCCCCTAGAAATAAACATTAATTAGTAAAAGAAAATTTCATAACATGTGAAATATACAAGGAAATGTCCAATGATTTTAATTTCAAATTTTCAATATACCTAAGCAGAGAAACAAGCAGTAGTAAAGATTGCAGCATTTCAGAAAATATGAAGTTCCTTTTGCATGATCAAATGTGGACTGAATATCTGGATGTTTTTTTTATCATATAATAATATTTTCACTGAATCACCACCAAACTTTCCTAGAAATGCAAGTCATTGTTCATATTCTTCTTGCGATCACAATAGTTGTAATTTAGACTTCTCTTGAGTTCAGGAATAGTAGGTCATGCCCATATAAAATTATCATAATCAATGTTTAAAAAAAAATAATAATAATTGGAGTACTTTTTTCTATTGGACAGGATCTATAGCATGCACTGCCCATATATTGAATAATGAAACTTTTGTAGGTTCTTGGCCAGTATTTTATCTTTCCGAAAATCCCTTTTTATTGTGTGTAACATTTATGATAAAATCTGCAAGTTACATAAATTGATTTCTTGAAGATGCAATACACATCACAAGATAGCATTAGCATATCTATTTTAGATTCTAATGAAGTTCATAATTTCAACCCTTTAGAATCACTCGAACTTTAGTCAAGACAACATATGCATCTATTTCTTAATCCACATCATACTGAATACAGATATGCACAATCAATAGTACACAAATACATAAATAGAATGCACAAAGTCCTAACATTATGGTAACAAGAATCTTCAACATTTAACTGCAATGAAATGATGGGAATATACTAACACAGAAACCTAACTGTAACAACAAATTTAATGGCAAAGTAGTGTTCAAAAATATGCACTTTGATTTCAACCAATAAAACTACACCGTCAAACTTTATAATTAACAGCAATAATCACATGGCATTACATAACATATGCAAATTTGAAGAAAATATCATCTAAAATGCAACGAGAAATGGATTACACTACATACTTCAACCGCAAAGCCTCCTCCAAGTCCTCCAAATGGATTGCCGAACCCTGCACTTCCAGACCTTCACCGTCGGCATCACCACCAGCTGCAGACTCGTCGCTGTTCCTCCCAATAGACGAAGAGGACGACGAAGAACTGCGACCACCATCATTCTCCACAATGACCTCGCCACGCTGTCCTCCAACGGAGAACTCTGGCGATTTGTACATCGGAATACACGTCATTCCGGTAGCGAATTCCGGCAGTCCGGTCCGACAATCCTCGGAACTGCTCGCTCCCAACGCAATCGGCATATACAAGGCGTATATGCACTGATTCATATATATATATATATATATATATATATATATATATATATATAGGTTGGGTATCCAATACATAGGCAATTTATATCCTACACCACGGCGTACATTGCACTATGCGCCCAGATGCAAAACGACGTCGTTTTAATTTTTTTTTTTTTTTCGAAATTTTCCGCCCCAGTGAATGGCAGTAGGCTTTTCTTTAAAAAAAAACCAGCTGTTCAAGAATGTACATAATGTTATACTTGAATACACATAATGTTATAACAAAATATACATACTCTTTTTAAAAGATAATACACATAATCTAACATAATACATAATAAACATAAACTTTTAACATAATACACATCAACTCTTAACATAATACACACAAATTTTCTGATTCGGATGTACATAATTGTATAAAAACAATGTACATAATTGTATAAAAAATAAACATAACTGTATGAACCAATACACATAACGTTGTGAACGAATACACATAACGTTGTGAACGAATACACATAATCTCAGCAACTTCCTACCGCGCCTCCCAACACGACCCCAAAACGACGTCGTTTTGGGAGGCGCGCGGCGCACAGTGCTATGTGCGCCGTGGTGTAGGATATAACGATTGCAATACATAACTTTTAGTACAAAGGCTTTTGGCCTATTGCTTGTGCCAACTTCTCTACAACTTCTTTATTCAACCCTTTATCTAACCTTCTCAGAAAAAAAAAAAAAAAACCTTTTATCTAACGGATCCGCTATTTATCCTTTGACTTTACATAGTAAAAGAGATATAAGAAACTGCTTAATGGTATTATGTCTATACGTATATGTCTAGACTTACCATTATACATATTCCGTACTCTATCAATTGTGTCTTAACTATTGCAATGCACAAAAATTGGAGGCAAAGGTCTTTCCCAACTAGGAATATTCACCTACTTATCACCAATTGGTTTCAAGATAGATATGCCAACTAGATAACCAAAGAATTTTGTGGTTAAGCGCGCTTAACTTACATGATAGGTGATCTACTTGAAAGTAAGCATAAAGTAGCAATGCGATTAGGGGTGAAAATAAGTCGAGCCGAGCCGAGCTTTAGAAAATTAAGCTTAGTCGATTGAGTTTATCACTTGCTCGATTCGAGACATGGTGTTGTGGCTTACCATGGAGGGGTGTGGTTAAATGGTTAATGTCCACCTACTTATCATCAATTGATTTTAAGAAAGATATGATAACCAGATAACCAAAGAATTCTGTTGTTAAGTGTGATTTGACTTATAAGATGGATGAACTACTAGGAAGTAAACATAATTTAATTAAATACCATTATAAAGTGTGACGTGCAGAAAATTTTATTTGTATTAATAAGCAGTTTCATAAGCAAAAGAATATGTTTTTTTTTTGGTTTTTATAAAATAATTTAATTTATGCTGATAAAAAATAATAATGAAGATTACATTTTAACATTTAAATTTATTCAGATTTTTAAGGAAATTGTATTTACAAATTAAAAGAATTAAATTTTTAAATTTGTATTAATTAATATAGTTACTAATTTAGACAAATTTAAGTACTCCGTAATATATTACTTATTTAGAATTGAGTATTAAGATATATATACTTTGGAATTAGCTCTTTATTTTCAAAAAAAAAAAAAAAAAAAAAAAAAAGATATATATACTTTGAAAATGAATGTTACATGATTTATTTAATGACATGAAAAATGAAAGCAATCCGTTGTCGTCCAGCGGTTAGGATATCTGGCTTTCACCCAGGGGACCCGGGTTCGATTCCCGGCAACGGAATTTTTCTCGTCGGTTACAAAATAGCATTTATATGTTAGACTATGACCAACGCCCAACGGACATTGTAATCAAAATTATAATAAACTGAATTTTGCCTTATTTATTCCAACCACGCCACAATGTATATTGACATGATGTTCATGAATGCACTTTCACCTAAGTAACTCTCGCTTCTCCTACGCAATTAGTGGGATAACTATAATTATCTCTGTATATATTAAAGCAAAATAATAGGAGCAAAAAACTCCCGCCCAAAAGGAACAACGCCGTTTTGACATAGCCGAAATATTTATTGTATCTGCGTCGGAAAACGAAGGGTTTGTGCAGTGTAATACCTAAACTTTATAGAAACTAACGTTTTTTAAAATATCTACGGTAGATCTAGCTCCAATCCAATGTGATTAGAGAATGTATTTAATCCCATCAGTTCCCCATATTGAACATTGAGCCCACGAACCCATACATATTCTCTAGGTATTAATTTCGAAGGGAAAAGTACGAAAGGTCATCAGACCTTATATATACAGCACATATACACACTAAGTTATTGCATAGAAAAAATTTACACCGGCCTCTCTCCTTCTTTTTCCCTACAACAAGATGTTCATCCTTGCTAGCCAAATATCTCCAATGAACACCAGGCAGGCTCTTAGGCTACGGGTGGTGCGTGCATATCAGATAGCCGAGAGAAGTGATCCATCTAAGATTAGATCAAAAGAGATAGTTTTTCATGATGAAGAGGTAAGTATATTTAAATACATCAACAGTATGCAGTGCAGTTTAGGGTTAAAAACATTTTTTTTTTTTTTTATTTTTCACAGTTGCTATGTATGAGATATATAAACAAAGCTCCTATTTATGTTATTTACATATACACAGGGTTCCTTCCTTCATGCTCATGTACCCAAAGAATATGTGGATAAGTACCTAAGTTATTTTTCTGAAGGTCCAGTTTACGCTATAAAGAATTTTTGTGTGATCAGTAATTTCTACTCATACAAGACCAGCCCACAGAAGTACATGATTAAATTCAACTATCAGACTATGGTAAAGGATTTAAAGAATGCGAAATTTCCTATGAAAATGTATCGTCTGAAGTCATTTAGGGAGATCAAGTCTAATGAAGGCCTTGATGAGAAGCACCTCTTTGGTAATCAATTGCTATCTTTCTATTTAATTTTCTGAATAATCGATTTTGTTAATATTATTTTATTATACTCTAATCCACTATTTTGTAGATGTAATTGGTCGAGTTATTGAGATTCACTGCCCACAGGAGAAATTGATTAATGGGAATAACTCTAGGCTGATTGACTTCACCATTGAAGACACTGAGTATTTTTTTCCTATTTTCATTCTATTTCTATTATATTTTTACAGTTTCTGTTCTTCTAATCTCTTATCTAACATTTTGCAGTGGTATAGGATAATATTTTTTTCCCTATTTTCATTCTATTTCTATTCTATGTTTAGAGTTTCTGTTCTTCTAATCTCTTATCTAACATTTTGCAGTGGTATACAATTGATGTGTACTTTGTGGGATGAACACGTAAGCAAGATCGAGGCATTCTACAATTCTACTTCACAAGAGCCTTTATTGGTGTTGATCCAATTTTGTAGGGCTAGGGTGTGTCTAAAAAGTAAGTACATAACAAATTTTAGTTTCTGCCTAACTTATATTATTATTTGTCCATATTTACCAATAATGCTTTGTCTAATGGGTACTAACATAATTTCTAAAGGTGTTGATGTTAAGATTTGTAGCTCCTATGATGTAACACAACTGCTGTTCAATCAGGAATCTCCACCATTTGAGGAGTTTAGAAAGAGGTTAGTCAATGCTTATTCTTGCACTACTTATTCAACTGGTCTCTAATTCTTATTGAATTTTATATTTTAGAAAACAGTTAGTCAATGCTTATTCTTGCACTACTTATTCAATTAGTCCCTAATTCTTAGTGAATTTTGTATAACAATCACAGTATCAGTCAGGAACAAACTCCAATGCGCAGTATTATTTCGCAATCGAGTTTTAAGGAATGCAGCTCATATTCAGTTTCCCTATCTGGTGATATGGAAGTCCGTACTATCAGTGAAATATACAAAGACAAGGAGGTAATCTCTATATTTAAAACCTATTAGTTGTTACCTTAGTCAATATACATAAACAAGGAGGTGCTTCAGATTTCCATGGTAGATATCAATGCCAACTGTTTTAATTGTAATCTGCATCAGCATAATATGCATTATGAGAATTAACAAATATACTATTTGGATAATTGACTAAAATTGAGTATGAATTTAAGTATACCATTGGATGCTTACCTGATTGAGAAATAAATAGTCTTTAAATATATAGATTAATACTATGCAGGTCATGCTATGTAGGCATCTCAAACCTGCACAATGAGAGACAATATAGAACTTAGAATCCCATTAATACAAATTAAAACGATATATAGTAAGTATTAGAGAGACTGTTAGTGGGTGCTTAGCTCATTGTGCTGTAGATATGCTATTATCTCTATAGCAATTCTCTGTTGAAATATCAATGCCAATGCTTGATTTGTAATCTGCATTTAATAATATGCATGAGATTTGAAACAAATATAATAGGGGGTTAATTTAATAATACTGTGAAGTATACCATTGGATACTTAGCTGATTGAGGAAATAAATAGTCTTTAAATATATAGATTAATAATGTGCATGCCATGTTATGTAGTCATCTCAAACCTGCACAGTGAGAGTAAATAGAGAACTTAGCATCCCATTAATACTCATTCAAACTTAATACAGTAACAAATCACAGAGAATGTTAGTGGCTGCTTAGCTCAATTTGAAATTGTTCTGAGAATGAGTATGCAAATCATACTCTGTATGTCACTTCAACCTGCACAAACAGTATAATAATCACTTTAATGTTTACATTGGATCATTTCAAGTCTTATTCAAGATGTTTGTACTCACTCTATAGTTGACCATTGTGAGATGTTTTTGCCACACATGCTCTGTATTAATTGAGGCATATGGACAGTGAGTGGCAACCTGACCAGGTATGGTTATGCAAACCATACTCTGTGTTTGACCCAAACCTGCACACACAAATTAAGCTTGGTTAGTTGTATTTAACCATACTATATAAATAAACAGGATTGGATTTGGGCTTAGAATGTACCTTGCTAATTATCTATGTATGTGTGCAGTTT